CTTCTTGAGCACTTTGCACAGCTGTACTTTTACAAGATTCTTTTTTCAGTCTGGTGGTACAGTGATTAAAGCATTTGGCTGCTAACTGGAAGATCGGTGGTTCAAACCCACCAGTTGCTCTGCAAGAGAAAAATGAGGCAGTCTGCTTCTGTAAAGATTGGCAGCCTTGGAAACTCTATGGGGCAGTTCTACTCTGCCTTCTGGGGGTGCTGTGAGTCGGAATCAGTTGGACAGCAGTAGCTGAGTCTCCTGCCTACACAAGCTCCAAGGCAGGGATCATCTCCTGCTTAGACAGCAGGGTCCCAGTAGGTAACTACTGAACAAGTGCTTACTGTCAGCAGGGCTCCAGCCAAACTGACCTGGCTTCCAATTTATAGCTAATGGTGTGCAAAACACCACATTGTCTCAAGTTTTATCTGTAAAAAGGTTATGAAAAATTAAAATTGGTAGGAGAAGGAAAAACAAAGCCAAGGAAGCCTGGGAAATGGGAAAAGGGAAAGGGCTGGTGCCTTAGGAAGAAGATAGGGAAGAGGATTTGGGGAGGACTTCCCACCTGTCATGATGGACTTTAATACCTGACTGTGACCCTAGTAAACACTCCAGAGATGCAATGGGACAAAGGTACAAAAAGGACAGGGGGTAGCATCCTCCTCTGACCTCCTTCAAACTCATGAAGTGGAAACAGAGTCACCATCAGCAATCCAAGGCTTAATCCTATGAGGCCAGACATGCCACCATCCTCCAGAATTTTTAGCAATTCTAACACCCCCCCCCAATGGCACTCAGCACTTCTCTGCTGGGTTCAATAATTTGTTGCAACGGCCACACAGAACTCACAGACAATACTCATGGTTATGGGCTGTGGTGTAGTAAATTACCTGGTATGGCTCTTTTAGCCGTAAGTCTTTGTAAACTCTGTGGTGGAATTTTCCCTGAGCAACTGAGGAGCTCCTGATTATTAATGTTACCCACCTGGGGTATTTCTGTTGAGAGTGGCACAAAGCAATGTTCTGGGAAGTTTGCTCTCTTTCAGGTGCTTAGAATTCTGATGTT